CAAAGGGGGGAGGGGGGAGAAGGCTTCATGGCCCTTTTAAGGACGAAACTCTTCGCTGACCCCCAAGCTTTGCCTTTACGAGCCGAATGTGATAGCACCATCAGCACGCATGTACACAACCCACACCCATTATCCCAGTCTCAATCGCTAGCCTGCCTTCGCTTCTTGGCGGGGACTAAAACTGTGCCACAAAGAATGCTAAATGCCCTCTGGCCCTTCTTATTTCTTTAGCGCCTATCTGGAATTTTCGCTCAGGACTAATGCTGCTGTTCCACTCACAACCGAAGACAGCGCCCACCACCAGCACTGGAACTTATGCAAGACAAGCTCTTTATCGCCACTGTGCTAAAAGTAAAAGTACATGTAATAAAAGCTTCACACCTTTTCTGCCGCCACTTGCACTTATGAAGTTTCAACAACTAGACGTATACAAATATTTTGTTTCCTATGCATCACTTGTGAAGGTGCACTGATGGCTGCTAGATCAGCCTAGTAATCTGAGGAGCAGTAAAGTGGGTAGGCATTTATAAATGTGGCAGCGAAGATGTGGATATTAAGGCGTCGTTGTTGCGCACAGGGCAGCACTTACATATGTAACAGACCATTTACAGAAAAAGAACTGTGCACGGCAATAACTACGTTGAACTAACAATATTCAACAAGTACCTCAGTGTTCCTATGCGATGTGATTTATCACAGTGTCACCCTTGATACTACCCTTGCTTCTATTATTTTTCTTACTATTCTTAAATGTAACATCAAGCAGTGCCTAGTTACCTTCGTAAATTTGCATATACTATAACAATTTGACCTGAAATTGAGTATACATCTGCAAATCGGGACCCCTCGCTACCGTATTTACTCGCGTAATCCTCGCACTAGCGTAATTCTCGCACTCGCCACATCGCCCAACAAAAATGCAATTTTTTTTTCCACGAGTAATTATCGCACCCATGAAAAATGCCACAATAATGTCGTCTGTTTGTTCCAGCCGTTGATGATGATAACACGCGCCATCTCTTAAGCATCAAACGTACTATTAATGGATGAAAATTCAATCCAATCCAAGCTAAGCCAAAGCGGCAAGTGCGGGTTGCGGTACTGCAGTTGCGGTGTGTTTTGTATGTTGTGTCGGTAATCTTGTCACGTTATGGGGCGATACTGAAGCTACACGCCTGCTTTCAAGTTGGAAGTGATTGATCATGCACTAAACAACGGCAACAGGGCCGCCGGTAGGCCCTTCTGAGTCTACGAGTTTTGCGTTCGCTACTGGTGACGGCAGCTAAAAGTCACCAAGACGCGTCGGGCCTGCCGTGTGCCCCGTGTGCCTAAGACTGGGATTGATGGTAAACTTTATTTCTTCAGGAGGAAACTGGGGACGATTCTGTTAAATAGCCATCAGCCCAATACTGACATCTTACGCTAACCTTTTGAGGGCTCCTGTTGAGTGACAAAGGCTACTGCTACGCCCGCATCACCCACAAGCTTTGCGTATGGTATTCTAATTCTCGACTATTTGCTTGCACTTTTTGTGTCTCAATAAATCTTGCCTTGCGTTGAACCTCTGCTATTATTGTTGAGGTAAATTTTAATTAGTACTTTTCAAAGCTTGCTAGTAGTTGCTGGTGTGAGAATCCCGATTTGCGGCCACTTCGTTTTTTTTTTTTTCGCCCAGTACGTTTTCGTGGAAAGTTTTCCTCGCTTAATTCTCGCACCCCCACCTTGCATCGGTCATCCGCCGAAAAAAGTGCGAGGATTCTGCGAGTAAATACAGTAGTCATGCTGCATGGCTTATTATATCGAAGCCCATCAATACTGTGATTTAATTCACCTACTTTAAACACTTACTTTTCACTAGTGTCACTGCATTAAAATATCACACTTAATTGCAAGAACTGCAGTAAACTCACGCATTTATTGTTTTTTTTTTTTGAAGAAACTGCCCCCATTCTGCCATGACTTTTTTTTTCCTGCCAACCGCTGCTCTCTTTCCTCGCCACACGACAAAGCTGAACAGCTGGTCTGCCCCTGTCCAGTGCTCAACTCGGCTGTCTATAACCACGGAGCGTCACATGCGGAACAGCACGAGTGACATCTGCAGTTGCAAATACGCCCCGCCCCATCTGAGCATGCGCGGCGCCAATGATGTGCCTGGCCTGCAATTTCCACCCTTAATTATCTCCGCGGTCGTGATGGCTGCTTTGGCCGTCGAAGCACTGTCAACATTACAAAATCGAAATAAGACAACAACCACAAAAAAAAAAAAATCAGAGCAACAACGGTTTTACTTCGTCTTTCTTTCTTGTTTTCTGTTTTTTCGCGAAATCGCTCAGAGTGCTTTCGATGGCTAAAGTGATTGTTGCATCCCCGGCGATAAACAGGGATCAGTATTGCGAGGCAGGCACATCAATGGCGCCGTGCATGCTCAGATGTGGCGTATTTGCGACTGCAGATGTTGCTCGTGCTGCTTCGCGCACGATGCTCCGTCGTTATAGACAGCCGAGTTGAGCACTGTACACCACGCAGAATGATTCATAGAGCATGCAACAAAGGACTGGGATTAGCTGCCATCAAATGGCTTCGGTCCGAACATTTGTATTTGGCCATCTTATTCAAGTTTCTGTTTGTTTTACTTCGATCTTGTTCTTTTTCCCCTTTCCCAGACTGCATTTTCGGTACACATCTTTTCAGTTATATCTGCTGTCAAGCGATCACTTTATTCATTGGTTTTATGTGTTTTTTATGCCGAGTGTTAATAATGCAATCATCTGAATTAGAATTTCGTCACTTCCCAGTCATGGCTAGCTACACAAGAAGACGCGCTTCCTGCATGCTAGGCCCAATCAGTCTTGCTTTTGCCCTTGAAATTCAATTATCAATATCTTGAACTACACACAACTTTTGCGATTTCTATAAAACTTGGTATGTCATAAAATATGCACTACAGCTTTCTTATATAAACAACTACCCTTACTGTCAGGATTAAGGAGTTCATATATATGGACGAAGATGACGAAGCAGGAGGAGAAGCACAAGGCTCGACGTGCATGACACGAGCAGTAATGAAAGCCTATTGTGCGAAGATCTGGCATTGTTTATGTAGTTACGAAAAAGAAGATCACATCAGCAGCTACAATCTGTCGACGGGAAGCAGCAGACGTTATGTTCAAGAGGCCGTAACGCTGACACTCAATGTCATTGCCATTGATATAAAGCGGCGTTTGGACGAGGTACTCAGAGGTGCTGAAGCATCTTGCAGCAGTTCCAGACGCATCTGCAGCAGTCCCTGTTCAAACGTCGGCCACCAGACATCCCCGGGATGTCCCGTCATCAGGCCGAGAAGGCGGCAGAGCTCGTACTGGGCTTAACTGCAGAGGACGCCTGCCACGTCAACGATGGCGACCAGGAACACGCCCACAGCAGCATGACTGACCATTGTGCATAGGAGTGACGATTGCCACAAGATCGTTGGCTACACTGACCACAGACCCAACACAACGAAGGTTGGACTTGCGACAACTGATGGAAGAAGAGTGTTTCATTCAAACCGCAATTTGAGTACAAGGTGAAAGCACTCCACTTACTCACATAATGAATGCACCTGCATAATAAACGCACCCCAAGTTTCAGTCAAATTTTTTATTTTTTTTCTTCCGCACAATAAACGCGCCTCCTACATTCATGCACTGCAGCCTCCCAAACCGACACATGGTGCCTTCTTGCCCATTGGATCTTTCCGTGTTTTGTTTTTTTTATGCCCACACGACTTCCCCCTTCACCCTTCACTTTTACGCCCACACGACTCCACCTTCACCCGCTGCCATGCGTCGTTTTATTTTCTTTATATCAGTGCATGGCTCAATCACTGTCTTTTTAAATTATGTTAAGCCACAATGTGGTTCCCTAACAATGTGAGTGCACAGACACCGCTGCTGACAAGCACACTGTGAGCGAGGGTCACAAAACTGCACATGGCAATCAACGGTCCCTTCCTGTAAATATAAAATTTTAAGGCCCAATCAGTAATCATGCACACAATTTTCGAGCACTGCCTCCAAGATTTGCTGTCGCCATGACCGCCTCCAAGGACCATTTGTCACTATTGCATTGCAGGTTTATCAAAAAGCAGAAAAAATCGCGTATTGCCCAAAAAAGAGCGTGACAATTTTAGCAACATGGTAGCAACCCCGATTCTCACTTCAGTTGCATTGAGCCATTCACGCTTGTTATTCGGGTGTACTTCAAAATTCAAGATATAGGCTACCTCTTCTACAGTGACTTCTCATGTGGACAGCGAGGCAGAGGTTGTATTTTGCTGTTAATTGTGTTATTTGTGGTTTGTTTTGATACTTCAGTGGTAGCTTGCTGCCACATTGGTAACTTGCTGCAATATCAACGGCTTAGTGGTCGTCTTGCGAGGTTGCCTTGGAGTTGGCAAAGTACAAAGTAGCACACTCTTCTGGGTGCCCCTTGAGATGACAGATATCCACTGTTATGATTAAACGATTGCGAGGAAAGAAAGCCGCAAAACGTTTTTATATAGTGCATGGACAACGCGGGGACAGCGTGCAGAAGATAGCGCCATCAATTACTGATGTTGAGTAAGTGTAACAAAGCTATGTCAAAACAGTGTACGAGTATGTCAGCAGCAAAAGGCTGAGCAACACAACTTTTTATTTTTGGATTACCGCATTTTTGACTAATCCCGAAAAAAAGCTTTTATAAACTTTGCCCTGCATTATAAATGCACCTCCAACTTTGCTTCGATTTTTCGTCAAAAAGGTGCGTGCATTACGTGAGTACATACTGTAGCCAAGTGAACTATGATAAATGCGTCAATAAACCAAATAAGGGAGTTTTTGTTAATTAGTTGCATCAATGCCATTTCCGCAGTAGTAAAGCACTTCTGCCTCGACACAGAGTTGATGAGCGAAAACGACAAGAGACAGATTGCCATGAATTTTATGAAAAACGGTATTGTTCAAAAACAAACACTCTACCTGTGATTCACCAGGGATAGTAGAGGCAAGGCAGGTGCCCCAGGGCATAGATTGGGGCACTGTTTGCACCCACGGGGTCGCAGCATGAGGGAAGGCTGCCAACGGAGGGGAGGACGGTGCCCACGGCTGCTGCTGCTCAAGTGAAGTAGCACATAACCTGGATATCACAGGGCATCCCACTTTTGAAAAACTACTATATGAAAAACAAAGATTGTCACGAAAATTGATAGCTGTAATGTTAGCAGATGAAAACCACAAAATAATAATTGTGACTACAGTTAAATCCACTTACAAAAATGCTAGATATAACAATCTATCGGTTATAACAAGTCTTGTGCGAATAGTGAACTTGAAGTTCGAAGCGAATAGCAATTTTCGTCGAATAACTTTAAATCACATTCGAATATTATATTGTTATGTGCCGTCTCACCTAGAAGACGAAGAAGTGAAAGATTAAGTGGTGCCTCCTCTAGCCATTGTGGTTGTTTTTGCCCGCGTTACTGTAAACTGTGAATACACCCATTTTCTGTTATCTCCTCGTAACATTGTTGATGGAGGAGCTGGGCTACATCTGGAGCAAATCACGGAACTTCGCAGCAGGCGTCTTCTTGGACAGTCCATCGTGTCGAAAGACATTTCCGTTGATCCAGCTGCCGCTATGCCGAATGCACCGAGCCACGTTGTTGTGACCCACCTCCGAAACCCTGGCCCCTTCTGCGGGGACTGATAACGTACACATGGAGAAGTGGCTGGCCGACTACGAATCGCTGGGATCAGACTTTGATGCAGACAAATGTCAGCTACTACCTTAGGGGTACGGCCAGTGTATAGTTCAACGTGCATGAGGAGGAGCTGACCAGCTAGAGCGTATGTAAACAAAAAATGAAAGATCTTTTCGGAAAGCTCATTGCAAGCCAACGAGCCGCCCAGAAAGAACTCTCGTGCCGGACCCAAACTTCTACGGAACCGTACACGGTTTACATACAGAATGTCTTAGCCTTGTGCTGTCAAGTTGAGAGCCAAATGCCCGAAGCCGGAAAAGTCAGCCACATTCCCAAAGGCATCGCTGACAATGCCTTCCACTTGCTTGTGTATAAAGACTGCTCCACTTGAAGAAACCGAGAAACCATCTTAGGGACGCGTACAGAAGAGGAGAAGACGACACACGCACGCTGGAACTTAGAGAAGGTTAATGAAACCACAACACATAAAGTTCCCAGCAAAATCAATCGCGCATGCATCGTACAATTAACATGTGATACACCAGAAAAAAGAATGAACATTACTACCCACATTTTTCTAAATAAGCAATCTCTTTCTTTGATAGTGAAGGTCCACTAATGCATCTTTTTGAGCCATGTTGCCAAATATGATACGCTTCAATCACTTTACATTCGTGAAGCGTATCATATTGCCGCGCCCGAAACAAAGAACGAAGACGATGTGCGCGCCAACAGCCTCGTGAAAAGGGAGACTGAAGAAGACGACGTACTTTCATTTTTGGCTCGCCTGCTCTTGGCTCCTGCATAAAAAACACACGCCGTCTGTTCTCGGACTCAACGTATCGGTGCACTGCTTACGTTGAACCGCGACACTGGTGGAGGTGCTGGGTTGCAAGCCTGCTGATGCTCAACACCCCATCTGGGAGCCGTTCATCAAGTCCCGACACGCAGCCATCTGTTACGACACCAGTGCACCGCTTCAGTCGCCGGTTGCTAGGCCTATCTCCAGAGCTGACCTCCTTCGACGAACATTCTACCAGGCATTACGTACCTCTACCAATGGCCTCCGCTAGCCAGCCACAGTTGGTCCAAGGGATACAAGGCAGCCCCGTTTCCAATCCAGCCCAGGTAACACTTCTTCAGCCACTTGTGCCTGATCGCTTCAGTGGTGCCCCACACGAAGATGTTGAAGATTGGCTTGAGCATTACGAACGTGTTGCCGACATCAACCAGTGGAATGCTCAACAGAAGCTCGCCCGCACGTATTTCACTCTCGATGACGGCGCTCACACGTGGCTTGAGAATCGAGAAGGCCGTATATCCACATGGGATGACTTTCGTCAGCAGCTGATTGACACCTTTGCTAGCGTCGACCGTCGAGAGCGGGCGCAGCAGCTGCTCGAGTTAAGGCTTCAAAAACCTAACGAAACTGTGGCAATGTTTGCTGAAGACGTGACGCGCCTCTGTCGTCGGGCTGATCCCAACATGTCCGAGGAGAAGAAGTTGCGCTACCTTATGCGTGGCGTAAAAGAACAACTGTTCGCTGGACTTGTGCGCAATGCCCCAACTACCGTGGCCGATTTTACAAGAGAAGCCACTGCCATTGAGCGTGCTCTGCACCAAAGATCTAGGCAATATGATCGCTCGTCCACTACCACCCCAATCAACGCCGCTTCAGTGACTCTGGACAATCAGGGCTCCCTACGTGACCTTATCAGAGATATTGTCCGCGAAGAAATGCAGAAGCTTTGGACTCCTCCAGTGGATACACCAGTGACCGCCGTTGCCGCGGTCGGTCGTGACGAACTTAGGCACGCTTTTTCAGCAGCTGATCTCGATCGCGATCAGCGTCAACTGAGTTACGCCGACGCTGTCCGCCGACCACCACCCGTCCCGCCCATTACATCATACTACCAGCCACCTACAGCCGCACCTTCGTCGCAACCATTGCAGGAGGCTTTCAGACGTCAGCCCATGTCTCCGATGTCTCCATGCCACCAGCCACCACTTGCCGCGCCTTACTCACCACCACGAGAGGACATAAGACGCCCACAATTTCGCAGAACGGACGCTTGGCTCACCGTCGATCGGCGCCCTCTCTGCTTCAACTGTGGTGGTGCCGGCCATATAGCTCGCTATTGTTGGTACCGCGACACATCGCTTCGCCCGTCTCGGCCAGGGTACGACGGTCGCCGTGCCAATGACGACTACATTGTTCGCCATGACGACCCTGGTTTTCGAGGACCTTCAACAACGTGGTCTCCCTATCACGAGTCGCCTCCTCATCGCCAGCCCAATTCCGCCCACAGGTCACGCTCTCCATCCCCTGCTCAGACAACATCACCGAATCGACGTACTTTTGCTGACCTTCGGGGAACAAGGTCGCCCAGCCCTTACCGGGGAAACTAAAGGCGGCGACCTCTCGGGGTAAGGTCGCAGCCCGACCACAAGACGATAAAAAGTCCCCAGTACTGCCGCGACAGAACGACTTGACGCCGACGAATATTAACAACGACGAAATGGTGAGCGCCGACCTCTATGTAATTATTGACGGAGAGCAAGTGACGGCCTTAGTCGATACGGGTGCTGATTTTTCCATAATAAGTCGCAAGCTGGCTGATCATCTTAGAAAAGTAAGAACGCCATGGACAGGACCACATATAAGAACAGCGGGTGGTCAATTGCTGCTCCCTACTGAAAGATGCACAGCAAGAATCAGCACAGGGGACTCTTCTTTCGTCGCGACTTTCATTGTTCTCCCAGAGTGCTGCAAAGATTTAATTATAGGAATGGGCTTTCTCAGGGAGCATGGCGCAATAATCAACATCCCGGACCGCGTGGTTTCATTTTACGAGAGTGCTCGTGTGACTGATCCTACATTACCAGAGCACAAATCCTTTCGTCTCAAAGACCACAATATAGTCGTGCCGCCTCGATCATGTATCCTCGTTTCAGTAGCATGTGACGTACCGTTCGACGGTGAAGGAGTCGCCGACCAAATAACCTCGCTGCTTTTCACTCACGGGATTTCCGTAGCACGAGGAATAGTCAATGTCACCGACGGCCGAACGAACTTGCTGTTGACCAATTTCACCTCCGAGCGACGGCACCTTCCAAAAGGCACAACGTTGGCACATTTTGACGAGATCGCAGATGTTCATGACTGCTTTTCAGCACTCGAAGCAACACCTGCACAAGACCCACGTGACCTAGCACCTAACCTCGACGTCAGCCCTACTTTAACTCAGCAACAGCGGGAACGCCTGCTTGTGCTGCTAGACGAGTTCCACGACTGTTTTGCGTCGACCTCGAAAGTTGGCCGGACGTCCTTGACCAAGCACCGAATCATCACAGAGGACACGGCTAGACCAATTCATCAAAATCCGTACCGTGTGGCTTCAAAAGAGCGAGAAGCGATACAACAGCAGGTAACAAAAATGCTTGAAGACGACATCATTCAACCGTCGAAAAGCCCCTGGGCATCACCTGTTGTTCTAGTGAAAAAGAAGGACGGCAGTCTGCGTTTCTGTGTGGACTATCGAAAGCTAAATCAGGTTACAAAAAAGGACGTGTACCCGCTTCCCCGCATAGATGATTCGATTGACAGGCTTCGAAACGCACGTTACTTCTCTTCCATGGACTTAAAGAGCGGATATTGGCAAATTGAAGTAGACGCCAGGGATCGTGAAAAAACCGCTTTCGTGACGCCAGACGGACTTTACGAATTTAAGGTTTTACCATTTGGCTTGTGCTCCGCTCCTGCTACTTTCCAGCGTCTCATGGATACCGTTCTCTCTGGCCTTAAATGGAGAACCTGCCTAGTATACCTTGACGACGTCATTGTGTTTTCTACAACGTTTGACGAACACCTTGAACGATTGCAAATGGTCTTGCAGGCCATACGGGCCGCAGGCCTGACGCTCAAGCCGGAAAAATGTCACTTCTGCTTTGAGGAACTGCAGTTTCTCGGCCATGTCGTCAGTTATGCAACCCATTATTGCCTCTTGTTGCATATCTGCAACACACAGTTCCGGGCCCTGCCAATTGCAAGGATCCTGTTGCACTGGTAAAAGTTGTCCATACTTTGCTATTTTTGGGTTATTCGTTCCACGCAGTACCATTTTCAGCCGCTTGGGGGCCGCAGTCGTCGTATCTGCAGTTTGCAAAATGGCAGCATCCACGTCGTCCTCAAGCTCCGCAAACAAGGTACTGTAAATATTTTTTTATGAGCCCTCAAGTTAACCTGCGTTGCTTTTTTCACTGAATGTGTGTTCAAAACACTTTTGACAGTAATCTAGAATCCAAAAGTTAGTTTTTTGCTTGCTCTGTTCGAGAAAATATTTTTTGCACGTGGTGTGTTGCACATATGCAACAGTGGGCACTAAATGCCACAATTTTCATTGTTGCAGACATGCAACATTGCTTTTCTGCTTGA